AATAAATATTTTTTTTACAAAAAATAATTTGATTTTATATTTTGAATTATCTTGTGACTTAGTACTAGATATATTTTTTATTGTTAGAGGGGGGAACGCACCAAAATATTTTCAGTGCTTAGAGCCTCAAGAGGTCTTAATCCGGCCCTGCAATTATATCAGTATTCTTACATAATAATAAAATTGTTTTATTTTTTTTTATTGATTGATTTTCCTTTTTAAAAAGGTAAATAATTGGCACAATTGCGTATTTGATGATAAACAATCATACCATTTTTAAGGTCCTTAATTTTTTTTTAAAAAAAGGCCATATAAATCCTTAATTTTTGCTTTGTTAAAAAGAGTGGGAACCCTGTTTAAATTGAATTGCATTCCTATTAAGCTTGTCATTTAACAAGCAGTCTAGAATATTCCACAAACAACAATTGTGTAAAATCTTAACTCCATCATATTTTTCAGGAAAAATCCCTAATTTCTCCCAAAATCTTGATAATTCTGTCAAAAAGGAAATTTTTATATTAAAAAGGTAATTTTAACGTAAGAATAAAAATTTACTAAATACTTATACAGAGGTGCCAACTATTATAATTTTTCCGTAATTGGGTATACTATAGCCTACGTCACAGGTTGTGTTATTCCTACTAAATTTAACCCATGAACGGCATTTTCTGCGAGCCTAACTTCAAGCCACAAGTAAACAAACGAAGTGTTTGATCGTTTAAATAGCTGCTCGCCAGATTTTATTGCATTATAAAGAAAAGTAATTGATATTCGATTTTTGATTAATAATTGATTTATGTGGATAGTGGCATTTATGTGGATAGTGGCATAGAATTTAGCATTGCGTCATGGTAAATGTTATTCCTACTAAGTGGAAGTAGTTGTGTTTTTTTTTTTATATTATACCCATTAGGATCTTACCTCCTTTGTCTAATCAAAGAATGAAACTAATTGACAGAAAAAGACAAAATATGTAAGTAACATTTAAAATAATACATCAAAATGTAAAAGCGCTTAAAGCAGCAGAATCCAAATTTGTTTTATTTTAATTTAGAATGTCCGAAAACAACAAACATTTAAAGATATGTGTGTTAACAGGATAATACTTCATCAAGGGGCCTGTTAACACGCAGGAGCCTTTCTGTTGTCAGTGGTGAAATCAAAAACTGACAGTGCCCTCGAGGCCCCATAATGGAAAATCAAATAAGAAGAAGCAATTGGATAAAATTGAAATGTAAATGCAAAGAAAAATGTAATCATAAATTAAGTCTTAATAATGGCTCAAAAGTACACAAACTAAGGCGAGAGAGAGCAGTGGCTATTACACCGATCATCGGTAAGATATCCACAGAGCTGTATTGCCGACATTGACAACAGCGCCACTAAACGGAAACTAATTCATGGGTAATTTAACTTTTTATGCTATTCAACCTGGAATCGGTGATGGGTTGTCATTGTTTGGTGGATTAAAAACATCAACAAAAAAATCTTTAGATTTTTTTTTTCTTTAAAATTCATAAAAATTCTAACAGAATTTATAAAAAAAAATCATTTATTAAAATTATACTTAATTTATTCAAATATTAATTGCTTCTTTTGACCTATAATTAGCTTTCATTTAAATTTTAATTAATAATTTAAATTAATTTATTAATGAAGCTCAAATAAGGGGGCACCAAAATCATTAGACCAGTCTCTTTTCCGACTTGTTTTTCTAGTTGAATTATACATATTTTTTATTTATCTGATATCTTTATTTATCTTATATCTTTAATATATTATTTCAAAGGGTAACAAAATTTTCGAAATTATTAATTTTCTTTTAATTTATAAATTTTGTGAGATAGTTTGAGGGGCGAAAACTCTTACGGTTACTCAAATAAATTATATTAAACTTAATTGTCTGATTAAAAATATTTTTCAATAACAATATTTCATAATTATAATTTAAATTCAACTGTTTTCATGTAATAATAATAATACACTAAATAAAGTGATGGAGGAATTAATGGTATGAAAATATGTTTTGCGTTGCTGACCCGGGATGCGGGGTGACCTCAAATATGCTAATTAATAAGCGCAGATGATTATTTTAAGTTACGAAGTCAGAAAAGAAAGTACTTTCTTTGAGTAAATTTACTCAGAGAAAGTACTTTTTGTTACCATGTTAACAAATTGTATGTTCACATACAATTTTTTCGACGACTTCAGATATATCACCCTCAAATTATAGGAGGTACCCGCAATCTGAAAAACGTGGTTCCAACAGTTTGGCCAGGAGAGCGCTCCAAACTTTAAACCGGTTAATGAAAATTTTACTTTTTGCGTATTTCGCTATATCTTAAGAACTTTTTAATTAAAAATTTTGCAATTCGTTTATCAAAAGATAATTTTGCGTAAAAATAATTTTTAGTAATTATTCATTATTTTTTTATTCAATAATGGTTGAAAAACTTTTGAAAAATAAGATATGCAATTTTTTACGTAATTTTAAAGAATATTATTTTACATGGCAAAATACAAAATTTGAGCAAAATCGGACGTATAGTTCCTTAGAAATCGAAGTTTAATTATCTGGCTTTTTTGAAATTCAATTTCTCAGGAACTATTCGACTGATTGTGCTCAAATTTTGCCTTGTAAAATTACATTCTTCAAAATATTATACAAAAAGCTGCATAATTTTTCATAAGATTATCGACTATTATTAAATAAAATAATAAAAAATAATTAATGTTTACTAAAAATTATTTTTTGCAGAGAATTACTTTTGGATAAATGAATTTCATAAGTGTGTGCAAAATTTTTTCGATTAGCTTAAAAAAATTTGAAGATATAGCACAATTCGCAAAGTAAAATAAACATTAAGGGTCCAAATTTTGGAACACTTTCTTGGGACCATATTTCCTGGACTGAGGCTACTCCCTATATTTTGAAGCATCAAAAATGGTATGCTTATTGGAAGAAAGCACGTTTTGTGTCTGCTTTCGTCACTTAAAATGTTGTCTGCACTAATTAATTAGCACATTTAAGGTCATCAAGTCTTAGATCCTGAAGATCTTATTATTAAATGAAATGATCAGTTTTTCTCTCTCCCTTTTTGAGCACTGTACATCCGAACCCAGGCTGAAAAACAAGAGAATGGAATGTATGTCATTATACATTTCAGGAAGAACATCCCTTTCTGCCATTGAAGGATAGTAAATTCGTTTTACTATGGGAAAATATTTTCAGCTTCAAATCGCTCTGCTTCTAATCTTGATTGGAGGCATATCAGTTTCAGGGACAGGAGTTACATTTTAAAAGCTGCACATAACTTGTTTGCACAGCTAGATCGGATCTTGTTCAATACAAACAAAAAAAATTAAGCGTTTAGTTTTTTTTTCGATATTTTTAGTCATTTTCAGATCGTATTTAAATATTCATTCCAAAAACCGTATTAACCAGTTACATTTTTAAAAAAAAAAATGGCCAAAAAAATCCTTTTTTTTATGCAAAAAAAAAACGTAATTTAGAACATTGTCTTGGCAAGAAAATACAAAAATCATCAAAATTTTTATTTTAATTTTTATCCACATTGCAGAAAAGATCCCAATATTGCAATGTTACGCGTACATCCTCTTTTTTTTTTTTCAAATCACTAAACTCATGTTTGGGAAAATTGCAACACAATGAAGGAATCGTCATAATTAAATGAAATTTAATACACAGTTGAGTAGTAGTGGTACAAATAAATGATTAAACTTTCAAAGCAAACAAACAATAACAAGACATCAAAATCAGTATTTTGTGTAGCCACCACCCGCCGCAATAAGTGCTGCTACACGACGTGGCATGGAGACAAACAAATTTTAATTGTCTGCCTGAGGAAGAGCATTCCATATTGTTTGAATGCGTACCCAAAGTTCGTCTGTAGAAGCAACAGGACGAGGATCATGAGCGAGACGCCGACCAACGATATCCCACGCATGTTCAATCGGCGACATATGCGGAGAATACGAAGGCCAAGGAAGAAGTTGTACCTGCCGCAATGCAAGGAAGGATTGAACAGTCCTAACTATATGAGGGCGGGCATTGCCTGCTGAAATATAGCGCCTGGCAAGGCTTGAAGGAAAGGAACAGCTTGGGGCAGTAGAACTTCACTGATGTACCGGTTGCTGTTCAGATTACCAACAATTCGTAGTGATTGAGATTGCCCATGATATGCTATGGCACCCCAGACCATAACTCCGGAAATTCATCCACTGTGGCGTTTGATAGCGCACTCTGGAAGGTGGCATTCACCGGCATAGCGTCTGACACGAATACGGCCATCATGGTACCACAAATTAAAGCGGGATTCGCCAGAAAACACGACACGCTGCCATTCAGCACACTAGTCCCTATGCTGGTTGGCCCATTGCAGGCGCAGGCAGCGAGGGTTTAGCGTGAGGGGGATCCTGCATAAAGGAGTCCTTGCGCGCAGTCCACGCTGCAGCAGACGTCTACGAATTGATGAAACACCTGTCGCTATTGGCCACTGTGCTGCCAGTTGTTTAGACCGTATGGTCCGTCAGCGCCATGCGGACCAAACCAAAATAAGCCACACCAAAATAAAGTACAGTGGGTGATCGGTTAAGGAACAAATCGGTCAACGAACACTTTCACGAAAGATTTTTGTGTTCGAATAACGAACACAAATTCGGATAATGAACAAAACAAATTCTGACGAGCACTTCTCGGCATGAAAAAAAAATTATATTAAACATTTATTATCATTTTGCATGCAAAATAAGATCACTGAGAGAAGAAATGTTTAAAGCATGCTCAGTATTGATAATTTCTAAATGAAACTTGAATTAACAATCAATTTAAAGGTCATTCAATAATTATTATTGTTCACTGCGGGACCCCCCCCCCTATTTAGTGAGAGAGAATAAGACATTAGTGTTTTCTGAAACTCGTCGCATTCATTTTTTTCTAAATTCAATTTATTTCATTACTACCACTTTAACTTAATCAGAAAGCCGCGCCCATTTGTTTACAAATGTTACTGGTTTTGTTGTCGATTTATAAAGTTTAATAATGTTTAATTACAGTTTCCTTTTACTGTGCGCTGCTATATTATTAATATTTTCTTATAATGTAATAGCGCAATTCGACTGGCAAATTCGTGATGGTTTTGATGATATCTCATCTCGAATGATTAAAGTTGGAGCTGGCAATTGTAAAGTTGTAGATAGAAATGCTTTGTTTTTACCTCCTGACTCAGTTACTCATATTCCCAATATTCGACAAATCGGTATTGATCCTGTTCTACCGAATAGAACAAATCTACTACAAATTCATAATATGGCTTTATCTAGGGCATTCTTTTACAGGTGAACGTTATTCTTGTTTTTTGAATTTGTTTGCTAACTAATATGCTGTGAATGATTACATTTCATCATAAATTATATATTTCATGACTGTTTTTCATCTTCACTCTGTACGAGGAATCAGTATTTAGGGGTCTGTTCAGAAGAAATTTGGTTCCGTTAACGGACCCTTCACAAAATATCTTTTCATAAAAACGAACCCTTCACAAAATAATTTATCTTTTAATCGGACCTTTCACAAATTTGTTTATCTTCATTATTGTTTTGTTAATCGAATAAACCCTTCCCGGAGGGGAAAAAAAGAAAGATGGTTCGAAACGAACAAAGTTTCCTTAAGATTAAATTCCAAATGTAGTCTTCATTATATCTATGTAGTCTAAATTATTTTTACTTTTACAAACATCGTGTGCACATTCTTATTAAAAGATATGAGTTCTTATTAAATGACAATTAAAGGATTTTTTTTTTTTTGTAAATAAATAATTGATCAATTTTTATTTATTCATAAAATTAATTAATAGAATATTATGTAAATAAAAATTTATTTTGGGCAATTTTTTAAATAAAATATTATAAATTTCAGAATTGTTTAAGTTTACTTAATGCGTAACATATTAAAAGTGATACATAACTAAGTTGTGTTATTTAAAATATGTCAATTGAGATTATTAAAAATGTGAGTGATTTTGTTTCCATTATCAGGGGTCTGTTTAGAAGAAATTTGGATCCGTTAACGGACCCTTCACAAAATATTAACTTAAAAACGGACCCTTCACAAAATATTTTAACTTAAAAACGGACCCTTCAAAAATTTGTTTATCTTCATTATTATTTTGTCAATCGAATAAACCCTTTCCAGGGCAGAAAACAGGAAAGATGGATGTAAACGAATTAAGTTTTGTCTTCGGCAGACGATTCTTCCATTATTCGTCCGAAATGAATATTCGGCGTTCAGCAGTATAGGCTAAATACCAAATATTTGTATGTTGCATC